CATCAATGATTAGTGTATTGCAATTGGATTAGGATGTGCTTCATTGATTATGAATTTAACTTTTGATTTTTTTAGAGGAAGAATGTTTTGCTGCTTCTTTTGTTACACAGTTTGGCTTGAATTATTATCTAGCAGGTAAGGACTGAGAACTGAAGCACACAGTTCAGAGAGTAAGGTGCTATAATACTCTCATATCTATGAACAGAAACAGCACAAATCCTGGATGAAGTTTTGAACTAATGGTCTTTGAGACCAATAGGAAAACTTCTGACTTTTATCCTAACTGGAAATCTCTGATTTTATATATATATATATATATATATATATATATATATATATATATATATATATATATATATAACTTGTTAACTAATGAACATTAACATTAATTTCTGGTTGGATAAAAAAAGTTTCCATTTTTCACTCAGAATATATGCATATGGTGATGTGTTCTTTATATTTTCCTCATTCCCAATTCTTATTTCCTATAAGACAAAATTCACAATATATTGCTTACAGTATCGCAATGTATCGTAACCTAACCCCTGTACCTCGCAATACGTGTTGTATCGCCAGATTCTTGCCTATACACAGTCCTAGTTTTCACAGACTGAGTAGTATTAAGCATGACTAGTTATTACTAAGTTATTTCACTGGTAAAATCGGTTGAGTGCTCCTCTAAAAGTTTTAATCAGACATCCAACTTGGTTATCCTTTTGATTTACACATGTGACTCTATTAGCTTACATTTATACAGTATAATGTACAGGGTTAATAGAAAAACGTGGATGAGGATTTGTGGATATCAAGAACATCACCGCGTGTCCTGTGAGCATTGTTCTGTACTTTGTATGTATTTTCTATATCCTGAGAAACTCCGAGTCCCCGTTGGGCTCCACACAACAAAGACACGAGCACGTGCTCAATGGTGTGAGAAGAGCCTGTTTTGTGTAACACAATGCTGTTAGAGTCCTGCTCTTCTCTCTGCCTGGGCCTCCAGCCAACAGACCGATTAACATGCTGACAAGCCTCAGTACATCTTTTACACTCACTGCCTTGACCTTTCACCTGCAGGGAGATCCAGTAAAGTCACAGAATAAGGACTGACACCTTTTAAAAACAAAGACTTTGCTCTCCATGGCACCATTTGTTTTATTCTCCGGCTTCCAGGAAATGCAGCCACAAGCTCATCGCGGCTAATGAGAGAGAGACAAAACCGCTATTGGAAATATTGTGGTGTAACATTTCCCGCTAAGAGTCTGAATGACTGGAAACACACAATGCTGGCTTACTCGTCATGGATCCATTCGACTCTCTCCATCACAGGCCATAAACTGCCCAATTTATTCTGTGCCGTTGCCTGTTTCACTAGCAAGACTTCACCAGTGAGGAATCCAAGAGCAATAATGATGCTTTTGTCTGGAGGTGCGCTGTGAGCAGAGAAAGTGAGAAAGCCAAAGGGAAGGCTGGGAACCAGTAGGTCACTGAGCTCACCTTACACCTCTTGTTCCCACAATGTTTTGGCTGCCTTCCCAAATCAAATCCCAAACTTTTTGCTCCACAGACCCAGAGGGGAAAAAGTGAGTAAGCTGTTGTTCTTAACTTTAAATCTCAACCAGCTTCTATTATCTGACACCATCATTTTGTGATCACGAGTTGACTGTGTAAACACAAGTGCAGAGCTCCCTCCTGAGTCCTCAATGCAAAGAATCTTTCCCCAGAGCCAGCAACTGGGAACTGTAACACTTGGGAAGTAGAGGATTTCCATCAGCTCATTGTTCATATTTATTCCCACAAAATTATTGTTTACAGATTCACCAAGAATTGCTGGAATAATGCTGTTATTCACTGCACATCAGCTGGAGAGTTTCTTCTCAATGGTTTGAGATGTGCTTGAGCTCTTATTGGAAATCCCAAAGTGCTGCCTGAGACTCTCTTTTCAAGCACCATCACGAACGCGAGGATGTCAGATGAATACTCAAAATCAGGTCGTCGTTTGTGACTAAATATGAAAAGCACAATCACGGCAGCAGACGTGACGCACCCAACACCATTAACCTGTGCCGTGCCCAACAGGCCACATGTTGCCACATGTTTCTTTTTTGTCTTGAACTTTCTCATGGACAACAACCTCTGTATTGTGGAGATCTCTACTGTACAGACTGTACTGCACATGCTCACACATGTGTGCCAGGTCAGACTGAGGTAGGCTGTCGGCTTTCTGATGGAGTGATGTGGTTTAAAATGAAAACCCTGCTGCAGCCATTGAAGTGAGACTGTGTAAGTTTAACACTGACTGTGACACTGGCTCTTGCTCAGTTAAATACATGAGGGGGTTTAGCTGCTGCAGCCTGACTTGCTCTGATATGACCAGCAGCTTAGTGTGGCTATTGTTTACTTTTGTTTGCTGACTTTCTGACTCATCTCTACTTACAGTTGCACTCCTGCGCTATAGTTAAACATTCAAATATTTGATCACAAAGGTAAAACAAGACGAAACACACTGTACCTCACCAGGAGAGATGTTTGTTGTTCCCCTCGTGTGGTCCCATCCCACTCAACGACTTTAAAGCAACCTAGAACAAGAAAATCTTGCAAAATGGAGGGAAATTAACTGCCATTATCCTGTGGCTGTTTATAGCTTTTTAGCAAAACTTTCAGTCTTGATTTAATGTGAACAAAACTAATTAAATCTTCAGAGAAGAAGCCAAAAATCCTGTCTTGGAGGGATCGGTTAACCAAAAAATACAAAAAACATATGTTCTTACTTACTGTACTAGGGGTAATTAGTCATGCAGATATGTATGGCAGAAAGAAATAGTCCCTATTAAAATTCCTGAGAAAGCGGTTTGTGGATTATCCGCAGTAACAAAGACATTGTTTTGGAAAAAATATTTTGCTTTTGAATTTTTCAAATGTCATTTTTTAATTCTGTCCACTACACATTTATTTCACCTCCATTGTCCTGGTATGGGGGCAGAAATCAAAGGGACAGATATTTTGATTGAATGGAGCCTTTAAATCACTTCCAGCTGTTTCATGTTCTCTGCTGTGTACATATACTGTGAACTCACACCATTATAACTTACATCTTCTTAGAAAAGCGGTACAGTTCTGTAGTAAAGAATTGGTCAATCTGAGTTGTGGTGGGTCTACCCTGCGCTGCGCCCCTTGTTGTCTGACATGAAACGAGGCAGCTGTTTTTGTCCTCAAGTGAGAGCAGTGAGAGCGGGCAGAGGCTCCCTAAAATAAACAGGCTATCTGTGCAGCCCCGGGGCTGGGTCGGGGTCACACTCCATGGTGCTCGCTCACTTGGGCTCTCCCTGCTCACATCCAAACACAGCGCCTCACTTCTTTTCTGGTTAAGAGCAGAGCATTTCACTTGAATTAAAACAGTATGTTAGTAAAGCGATCAGCGGGAAAGTTTGAAGAATCGTCACTGTGCCTGATTTAATGTCTCTGAAGGAGTCACAGAACGCTGGAAAGAACTTCAAATTAGTAACATTTCCTCCCATCTCATGCTCAGCTAGTTGAATTGGGAGGCAAACACTCATCAGTAGTTTGTTAATAGAAGTAAAAATTCTGGATTTTTACAAAGTTAAACAAGGATTACTTTGCGAGTATACAAAAAACAACTCAAATGAAAATGCAGCAGTGTGGGTAATTATTGTGCCTTGCATAAGCAAGCACAATACTACTATCCCTCGGGCTTATTATTGTGCCTTGCATAAGCAAGCACAATACTACTCTTCCCCATACTTATTATTGTGCCTTGCATAAGCAAGCACAATACTACTATCCCTCGGGCTTATTATTGTGCCTTGCATAAGCAAGCACAATACTACTATCCCTCATACTTATTATATTTTATTCTTCCGTACGTTTTTCGGCGCGCTACTCCTCCCGCAGCTTTTGTCGCACATACACAAAAAAGGTATCAAAACGTGCGGCTCGGCCGGGAATCGAGTGCTATGACTTTTCTAAGAATTTCGCCAAACGGTTTGCCGATAAATCGCCAAAAACCGGTCAAAAAAATGAATGGGTGTGTATTGCGAGAACCTCCAACTGAAAAAAACTGCCAGAGTGCGTGACATCATCGCTAGAGTGTGGGGAGAAGGGAAAAATTTGTTGAAAAATAAATTTGTAAACTGCTGTCATGGCCACAAATTTCACTCTACAGAAATAATTTATAGATAGAAACGTAGGAAAATTCGTTGGGGTCGCAGTGATACCACTGCTGAAGCTGTCAGACAAATAGTTTTGGCGGGAGACGCACTGATGCGCCAGCAACGCCCTCTCACGGCCCCATCTACTCCCATGTTAATTTTAGAGGACAATTCTTGAAAAACGCTCGTTGAACCTCTTCTCTCTCAATCTCCCCAGGTCACATTTTTTAACTTTAGCCACTGAAACTCGGCACTGCTATAGTCAACAAGATGACGACGCTCACGGTCTTTTCGGTTTTCATTTCGGTCGTTCCTGGCCATGCTTTTGAGGGGATTCATTTTAAATGTTTCTGTCTCTCTGAGGAGTTAGAGACAGAGAGAGCGCGCGCAGCTGCTGTGGGCTCCCCTGATTGCCATGACAACCAAAGCCTGCTCACACACACACACACACACACACACACACAGCTAGCTACAGAGAATGACAAGACATTAATAAGCTAGCGCTAGCTGGCTAGCTAAAGATAGTTAGCAGGCGGCTAACAAGCAAACAATTTAAAGCTGAATGATTTTAATATTAACACAAAATAAGTTCAATACACCTTAAATATTTTACCCTACTATGAGCTGTTACTTAATTTACATTAGCACTCCTTCAGGAGAATAATACAATTAAACACATTAACCAAAGCTAGCACTCAGCTAGCGATTAGCGCTTAGCTAGCGATTAGCATGTAGCTAGCGATTAGCGGTTAGCTAGCGATTAGCATGTAACTAGCGATTAGCACGTAGCTAGCGATTAGCACGTAGCTAGCGATAAGCACGTAGCTAAGCACTAGCTTTGGTTTATGTGTTTATATGTGCTAGCTTTAGCTAGCTAGCTAAAGAGAATGACATGATATTAATATGCTAGCGCTAGCTAAGGAGGATGACAGGTTATCAATATGCTATAGGGAGGATTACATGGCATTAATAATCTAGAGCTAGCTGGCTAGCTAAAGATAATTAGCAGGTGGCTAACAAGCAAACAATTTAAAGCTGAATTATTTTAATATTAACACAAAATAAGAACAATACACCTTAAATATTTTACCCTACTATGAGCTGTTCCTTAATTTACATTAGCACTCCTTCAGGAGCATAATACAATTAAACACATTAACCAAAGCTAGCACTTAGCTACCAATTATCGGTTAGCACTTAGCTAGCGATTAGCGCAGAGCTAGCGATTAGCGGTTAAATAGCGGTTAGCACGTAGACATGGTATTAACATATGGGCCAGAGCAAGGCACAATCAAAATTGCTTTAGGAATTTTCTAGTTATTGTGCCTTGCATAAGCAAGCACAATACTATTATCCCTCGGGCTTATTAATATTATTCTTCCGTACGTTTTTCGGCGCGCTACTCCTCCCGGAGCTTTTGTCGCACATACACAAAAAAGGTATCAAAACGTGCGGCTCGGCCGGGAATCGAGTGCTATGACTTTTCTAAGAATTTCGCCAAACGGTTTGCCGATAAATCGCCAAAAACCGGTCCAAAAAATGAATGGGTGTGTATTGCGAGAACCTCCAACCGAAAAAAACTGCCAGAGTGCGTGACATCATCGCTAGAGTGTGGGGAGAGAGAAAAATTTGTCGAAAAATAAATTTGTAAACTGCTGTCATGGCCACAAATTTCACTGTACAGAAATAATTTATAGATAGAAACGTAGGTAAATTCGTTGGGGTCGCAGTGATACCACTGCTGAAGCTGTCAGACAAATAGTTTTGGCGGGAAACGCACTGATGCGCCAGCAACTCCCTCTCACGGCCCCATCTACTCCCATGTTAAAATGGAGAGGAGGATTCTTGAAACACGCTCGTTGAACCTCTTCTCTCTCAATCTCCCCAGGTCACATTTTTTAACTTTAACCACTGAAACTCGGCAGGGCTATAGTCAACAAGATGACGACGCTCACGGTCTTTTCGGTTTTCATTTCGGTCGTTCCTGGCCATGCTTTTTAGGGGATTCATTTTAAATGTTTTCTGTCTCTCTGAGGAGTTAGAGACAGAGAGAGAGCGTGCGCAGCTGCTGTGGGCTCCCCTGATTGCCATGACAACCAAAGCCTGCTCACACACACACACACACACACACACACAGCTAGCTACAGAGAATGACAAGACATTAATAAGCTAGCGCTAGCTGGCTAGCTAAAGATAATTAGCAGGTGGCTAACAAACAAACAATTTAAAGCTGAATGATTTTAATATTAACACAAAATAAGTTCAATACACTTTAAATATTTTACCCTACTATGAGCTGTTCCTTAATTTACATTAGCACTCCTTCAGGAGCATAATACAATTAAACACATTAACCAAAGCTAGCACTTAGCTAGCGTTAGCGCTTAGCTAGCGATTAGCATGTAGCTAGCGATTAGCATGTAGCTAGCGATTAGTATGTAGCTAGCGATTAGCAGTTAGCTAGCGATTAGCACGTAGCTAGCGGTTAGCTAGCGATTAGCACGTAGCTAAGCGCTAGCTTTGGTTTAAGTGTTTATGTGTGCTAGCTCTAGCTAGCTAGCTAAAGAGAATGACATGATATTAATATGCTAGCGCTAGCTAAGGATGATGACAGGTTATCAATATGCTATAGGGAGGATTACATGGCATTAATAATCTAGCGCTAGCTGGCTAGCTAAAGATAATTAGAAGGTGGCTAACAAGCAAACAATTTAAAGCTGAATGATTTTAATATTAACACAAAATAAGTTCAATACACCTTAAATATTTTACCCTACTATGAGCTGTTCCTTCATTTATATTAGCACTCCTTCAGGAGCATAATACAATTAAACACATTAACCAAAGCTAGCACTTAGCTAGCGATTAGCGGTTAGCTAGCGATTAGCGCACAGCTAGCGATTAGCGCTTAGCTAGCGATTAGCACGTAGCTAGCGATTAGCGCTTAGCTAGCGATTAGCGCTTAGCTAGCGATTAGCACGTAGCTAAGCGCTACCTTTGGTTAATGTGTTTATGTGTGCTAGCTCTAGCTAAAGAGAATTACATGGTATTAATATGCTAGCGCTAGCGTGCTAGAGAGCAAGACATGGCTAGACATGGTATTAACATATGGGCCAGAGCAAGGCACAATCAAAATTGCTTTAGGAATTTTCTAGTTATAATATTTTATTCTTCCGTACGCTTTTTCGGCGCGCTTCTTCTCCCAGAGCTTTGATCGCACGTACACAAAAAAGGTATCAGAACGTGCGGCTCGTTGAGGACATTAGTGCTATGACTTTTCTAAGAATTTCGCCAAACGGTTCGCCGATAAATCGCCAAAAACCGGTCCAAAAAATGAATGGGTGTGTATTGCGAGAACCTCCAACTGAAAAAAACTGCCAGAGTGCGTGACATCATCGCTAGAGTGTGGGGAGAGAGAAAAATTTGTCGAAAAATAAATTTGTAAACTGCTGTCATGGCCACAAATTTCACTCTACAGAAATAATTTATAGATAGAAACGTAGGTAAATCCGTTGGGGTCGCAGTGATACTACTGCTGAAGCTGTCAGACAAATAGTTTTGGCGGGAGACGCACTGATGCGCCAGCAACGCCCTCTCACGGCCCCATCTACTCCCATGTTAAAATGGAGAGGAGGATTCTTGAAAAACGCTCGTTGAACCTCTTCTCTCTCAATCTCCCCAGGTCACATTTTTTAACTTTAGCCACTGAAACTCGGCAGCGCTATAGTCAACAAGATGACGACGCTCACGGTCTTTTCGGTTTTCATTTCGGCCGTTCCTGTCCATGCTTTTGAGGGGATTCATTTTAAATGTTTTCTGTCTCTCTGAGGAGTTAGAGACAGAGAGAGAGCGTGCGCAGCTGCTGTGGGCTCCCCTGATTGCCATGACAACCAAAGCCTGCTCACACACACACACACACACACACACACACACACAGCTAGCTACAGAGAATGACAAGACATTAATAAGCTAGCGCTAGCTGGATAGCTAAAGATAATTAGCAGGTGGCTAACAAGCAAACAATTTAAAGCTGAATGATTTTAATATTAACACAAAATAAGAACAATACACCTTAAATATTTTACCCTACTATGAGCTGTTCCTTAATTTACATTAGCACTCCTTCAGGAGCATAATACAATTAAACACATTAACCAAAGCTAGCACTTAGCTAGCTATTAGCGCACGGCTAGCGATTAGCGCTAAGCTAGCGATTAGCGCACAGCTAGCGATTAGCGCACAGCTAGCCATTAGCAGTTAGCTAGCGATTAGCGCTTAGCTAGCGATTAGCGGTTAGCAAGCGATTCGCACGTAGCTAGCAATTAGGTCTTAGCTAGCGATTAGCACATAGCTAAGTGCTACCTTTGGTTAATGTGTTTATGTGTGCTAGCTCTAGCTAGCTAGCTAAAGAGAATGACATGATATTAATATGCTAGCGCTAGCTAAGGAGGATGACAGGTTATCAATATGCTATAGGGAGGATTACATGGCATTAATAATCTAGCGCTAGCTGGCTAGCTAAAGATAATTAGAAGGTGGCTAACAAGCAAACAATTTAAAGCTGAATGATTTTAATATTAACACAAAATAAGTTCAATACACCTTAAATATTTTACCCTACTCTGAGCTGTTCCTTAATTTACATTAGCACTCCTTCAGGAGCATAATACAATTAAACACATTAACCAAAGCTAGCACTTAGCTAGCGATTAGCAGTTAGCTAGCGATTAGCAGTTAGCTTGCGATTAGCATGTAGCTAGCGATTAGCGGTTAGCTAGCGATTAGCACGTAGCTAGCGATTAGCGCTTAGCTAGCGATTAGCAGTTAGCTAGCGATTAGCACATAGCTAGCGATTAGCACGTAGCTAGCGATTAGCGCTTAGCTACCGATTAGCGCATGACTAGCGATTAGCACATAGCTAAGTGCTACCTTTGGTTAATGTGTTTATGTGTGCTAGCTCTAGCTAAAGAGAATGACATGGTATTAACATATGGGCCAGAGCAAGGCACAATCAAAATTGCTTTAGGAATTTTCTAGTTATAATATTTTATTCTTCCGTACGTTTTTCGGCGCGCTTCTTCTCCCGGAGCTTTTGTCGCACGTACACAAAAAAGGTATCAAAACGTGCGGCTCGGCCGGGAATCGAGTGCTATGACTTTTCTAAGAATTTCGCCAATCGGTTTTCCGATAAATCGCCAAAAACCGGTCCAAAAAATGAATGGGTGTGTATTGCGAGAACCTCCAACTGAAAAAAACTGCCAGAGTGCGTGATGTCATCGCTAGAGTGTGGGGAGAGAGAAAAATTTGTCGAAAAAAAAATTTGTAAACTGCTGTCATGGCCACAAATTTCACTCTACCGAAATAATTTATAGATAGAAACGTAGATAAATCCGTTGGGGTCGCAGTGATACTACTGCTGAAGCTGTCAGACAAATAGTTCTGGCGGGAGACGCACTGATGCGCCAGCAACGCCCTCTCACGGCCCCATCTACTCCCATATTAAAAAGGAGAGGAGGATTCTTGAAACACGCTCGTTGAACCTTTTCTCTCTCAATCTCCCCAGGTCACATTTTTTTACTTTAACCACTGAAACTCGGCAGCGCTATAGTCAACAAGATGACGACGCTCACGGTCTTTTCGGTTTTCATTTCGGTCGTTCCTGGCCATGCTTTTGAGGGGATTCATTTTAAATGTTTTCTGTCTCTCTGAGGAGTTAGAGACAGAGAGAGAGCGTGCGCAGCTGCTGTGGGCTCCCCTGATTGCCATGACAACCAAAGCCTGCTCACACACACACACACACACACACACACACACAGCTAGCTACAGAGAATGACAAGACATTAATAAGCTAGCGCTAGCTGGCTAGCTAAAGATAATTAGCAGGTGGCTAACAAACAAACAATTTAAAGCTGAATGATTTTAATATTAACACAAAATAAGAACAATACACCTTAAATATTTTACCCTACTATGAGCTGTTCCTTAATTTACATTAGCACTCCTTCAGGAGCATAATACAATTAAACACATTAACCAAAGCTAGCACTTAGCTAGCGATTAGCGCACGGCTAGCGATTAGCGCACAGCTAGCGATTAGCGCTTAGCTAGCGATTAGCATGTAGCTAGCGATTAGCATGTAGCTAGCGATTAGCGGTTAGCTAGCGATTAGCATGTAGCTAGCGATTAGCGCTTAGCTAGCGATTAGCACGTAGCTAGCGATTAGCGCTTAGCTAGCGATTAGCACGTAGCTAAGCGCTACCTTTGGTTAATGTGTTTATGTGTGCTAGCTCTAGCTAAAGAGAATTACATGGTATTAATATGCTAGCGCTAGCGTGCTAGAGAGCAAGACATGGTATTAACATATGGGCCAGAGCAAGGCACAATCAAAATTGCTTTAGGAATTTTCTAGTTATTATTATTCTTCCGTACGTTTTTCGGCGCGCTTCTTCTCCCGCAGCTTTTGTCGCACATACACAAATAAGGTATCAAAACGTGCGGCTCGGCCGGGAATGGTGTGCTATGACTTTTCTAAGAATTTCGCCAAACGGTTTGCCGGTAAATCGCCAAAAACCGGTCCAAAAAATGAATGGGTGTGTATTGCGAGAACCTCCAACTGAAAAAAACCGCCAGAGTGCGTGACATCATCGCTAGAGTGTGGGGAGAGAGAAAAATTTGTCGAAAAATAAATTTGTAAACTGCTGTCATGGCCACAAATTTCACTCTACAGAAATAATTTATAGATAGAAACGTAGGTAAATTCGTTGGGGTCGCAGTGATACTACTGCTGAAGCTGTCAGACAAATAGTTTTGGCGGGAAACGCACTGATGCGCCAGCAACGCCCTCTCACGGCCCCATCTACTCCCATGTTAATTTTAGAGGAGGAATCCTGAAAAACGCTCGTTGAACCTCTTCCCTCTCAATCTCCCCAGGTCACATTTTTTAACTTTAGCCACTGAAACTCGGCAACGCTATAGTCAACAAGATGACGACGCCCACGGTCTTTTCGGTTTTCATTTCGGTCGTTCCTGGCCATGCTTTTGAGGGGATTCGTTTTAATTGTTTTCTGTCTCTCTCAAGAGTTAGAGACAGAGAGAGTGCGTTGCGCAGCTGCTGTGGGCTCCCCTGATTGCCATGACAACCAAAGCCTGCTCACACACACACACACACACACACACACAGCTAGCTACAGAGAATGACAAGCATTAATAAGCTAGCGCTAGCTGGCTAGCTAAAGATAATTAGCAGGTGGCTAACAAACAAACAATTTAAAGCTGAATGATTTTAATATTAACACAAAATAAGTTCAATACACCTTAAATATTTTACCCTACTATGAGCTGTTCCTTAATTTACATTAGCACTCCTTCAGGAGCATAATACAATTAAACACATTAACCAAAGCTAGCACTTAGCTAGCGATTAGCGCTTAGCTAGCGATTAGCATGTAGATAGCGATTAGCGGTTAGCTAGCGATTAGCACGTAGCTAGCGATTAGCGGTTAGCTAGCGATTAGCACGTAGCTAAGCGCTAGCTTTGGTTTATGTGTTTATGTGTGCTAGCTTTAGCTAGCTAGCTAAAGAGAATGACATGATATTAATATGCTAGCGCTAGCTAAGGAGGATGACAGGTTATCAATATGCTATAGGGAGGATTACATGGCATTAATAATCTAGCGCTAGCTGGCTAGCTAAAGATAATTAGCAGGTGGCTAACAAGCAAACAATTTAAAGCTGAATGATTTTAATATTAACACAAAATAAGAACAATACACCTTAAATATTTTACCCTACTATGAGCTGTTCCTTAATTTACATTAGCACTCCTTCAGGAGCATAATACAATTAAACATATTAACCAAAGCTAGCACTTAGCTAGAAATTATCGGTTAGCACTTAGCTAGCGATTAGCGGTTAAATAGCGGTTAGCACGTAGACATGGTATTAACATATGGGCCAGAGCAAGGCACAATCAAAATTGCTTTAGGAATTTTCTAGTTATTATTCTTCTTCCGTACGTTTTTCGGCGCGCTTCTTCTCCCGCAGCTTTTGTCGCACATACACAAAAAAGGTATCAAAACGTGCGGCTCGGCCGGGAATCGAGTGCTATGACTTTTCTAAGAATTTCGCCAAACGGTTTGCCGATGAATCGCCAAAAACCGGTCAAAAAAATGAATGGGTGTGTATTGCGAGAACCTCCAACTGAAAAAAACTGCCAGAGTGCGTGACATCATCGCTAGAGTGTGGGGAGAAGGGAAAAATTTGTCGAAAAATAAATTTGTAAACTGCTGTCATGGCCACAAATTTCACTCTACAGAAATAATTTATAGATAGAAACGTAGGTAAATCCGTTGGGGTCGCAGTGATACTACTGCTGAAGCTGTCAGACAAATAGTTTTGGCGGGAGACGCACTGATGCGCCAGCAACGCCCTCTCACGGCCCCATCTACTCCCATGTTAATTTTAGAGGACAAATCTTGAAAAACGCTTGTTGAACCTCTTCTCTCTCAATCTCCCCAGGTCACATTTTTTAACTTTAGCCACTGAAACTCGGCAGTGCTACAGTCAACAAGATGACGACGCTCACGGTCTTTTCGGTTTTCATTTCGGTCGTTCCTGGCCATGCTTTTGAGGGGATTCATTTTAAATGTTTTCTGTCTCTCTGAGGAGTTAGAGACAGAGAGAGCGTGCGCAGCTGCTGTGGGCTCCCCTGATTGCCATGACAACCAAAGCCTGCTCACACACACACACACACACACACACACACACACACAGCTAGCTACAGAGGCTGACAAGACATTAATAAGCTAGCGCTAGCTAGCTGGCTAGCTAAAGATAATTAGAAGGTGGCTAACAAACAAACAATTTAAAGCTGAATGATTTTAATATTTACGTAAAATAAGAACAATACACCTTAAATATTTTACCCTACTATGAGCTGTTCCTTAATTTACATTAGCACTCCTTCAGGAGCATAATACAATTAAACACATTAACCAAAGCTAGCACTTAGCTAGCGATTAGCGGTTAGCTAGCGATTAGCGCACAGCTAGCGATTAGCATGTAGCTAGCGATTAGCATGTAGCTAGCGATTAGCATGTAGCTAAGCACTACCTTTGGTTTATGTGTTTATATGTGCTAGCTTTAGCTAGCTAGCTAAAGAGAATGACATGATATTAATATGCTAGCGCTAGCTAAGGAGGATGACAGGTTATCAATATGCTATAGGGAGGATTACATGGCATTAATAAGCTAGCGCTAGCTGGCTAGCTAAAGATAATTAGAAGGTGGCTAACAAACAAACAATTTAAAGCTGAATGATTTTAATATTAACACAAAATAAGTTCAATACACCTTAAATATTTTACCCTACTGTGAGCTGTTACTTCATTTACATTAGCACTCCTTCAGGAGCATAATACAATTAAACACATTAACCACAGCTAGCACTTGGCTAGCAACTAGCGGTTAGCAGTTAGCTAGCGATTAGCGCAGAGCTAGCGATTAGCGGTTAGCACGTAGACATGGTATTAACATATGGGCCAGAGCAAGGCACAATCAAAATTGCTTTAGGAATTTTCTAGTTATATATGATCTGCAATATTCACCAAAGTTCCCCCCACTTTCTAGCTGTAATCTCTGCTGTATTCTGTTCAGTCCTCAGCCTCTCAATCACTCTCGGACTTGGACATGGGCTTATGGGAAATTATGTTTCTTAAAAACATAAATATTAAAAAAAAATCTTTATTAAAGAATGACTCTCCTTATATGGAGTGAGCCACATGCCGTACTATTGACAAAGGCAATGTTCCAAGGAGGGGTTTGTTGTTAATTGTTATTACACAATGTCAGTGGGATTTGGAATGGCGTTTCCTTACGAGTGGAACAGAACAGAGTCGTCAGTCCAGATATTTCAGTCTTGTCCATGGTGGTGGACTCACAACCTAATGTCATTTCCACTGCATTCCATCGTGGGGGACAATAATGGCATTAAAACCGGACTGTCAGTCGACAGGAAAAGCACAGGGCAACTGATGACACAAACAGTGGCTCTGGTTTCAGCTTTAATTCATGTTCTTAGTTACACCTGTGCTTTACCTCTCAGACTGTCGGCAGCTATATACATGCTGGGTATACAATCACACTTCTAGTCTAGTTAGCCTTGTTTTGGTACATTTTAACAAACCTCTGAAGTAATATAAAGTATTAGTACAGAAACACATGTATTGATCAATAACCAGTAGTACATTCTGGCCAAGCTCTGCACTCTGGAGCACTAAAATCTATTTAAGAAAGGGTTTTTCAGCATGACTGCAGTAGCCTGTTATTGTCAGGAGCTGTTATTTGTCTCATTCTTTGCTCTGGCAGCACAGAAGCCTCACTGGATCACAGCTAATGAACACAGGCATTAACTGCTTCTGAGTGAAAGACGTACTCTGGGATTGGCTGCGAGTACAAAAACATCACATGCTCTCTCTTTTACTCATGATTGGTGCTTGATTGAAGAGGCATAATGGTTTGTTCTTGTTGATGATTATTAAGTGCTATAATTGATACAAGTGCTTTTCTTTGTCTCATCACTTGGTTGTTTTGTAATGTATTGTGCAAATAACAATGTAAACAAATGTATACGTCATTATTAGAAAGAGAAAGATTTTACATGAATTAGAGACAAGTTTGAGGTTAACTTTAAAACATGTAATACATCACAAGCCACCCAATCACTTCTTTCCATTTTGTGCAGTACTGTATGTTTTTTTTATAGAATAGGAGAGAGCCAGGTTATTTCCACCTGTTCGAGACTTTATGCTAAGCTAAACTACCTGCTGGCCATAGTCGCATACCAAACAGATAGATATAACAGTAATATTAATCTTATCTTCTAAGAGAATAACCGTATTTCTCAAAATGACTAATTCTCTGATATTTTTTTTATAATTAGGCCTTCTTTAAGATTTAAGATAGTTTTTCCTGCACTTTTTATATTCAACAAACTATCTCATGAATACAGAACTGATTGGCTGCTGCTATGGTAATCCCTGATGTCGGACCGTTCCAGAAGCATGTTATGGCAATATAAAGCAGTGCCGAGTTTACCAAGTTAAGCCCAAAGGAGCTGTTGATATCGTCAGGGCTGAGTTCATCCTCTCTGTGCATTTGGATGGCTTATACTCACATACTGTAGCTAGATTATCCTTTCTCCCACAACCCTCTCCCTCTACAAGTTTAGCTTATTCAGTTACTTTGATATTCACAAATTAATATTCTAACATACTCAGATGGTTAACTTGGTACATTATACATGCTTATATGATACAATCATACCTATTACCTTACATTGTGAGCATGTTACAGGCTCACAGGGCCGCTAGCATGACTGTAGAGGCTCGTTCCTTCATTTGAATGGAGCAGCGTGGGGTCGTCCAGCTCAAAAGGTTCCTGGTAGATCACTAACATGAAGACTGACTACTGTTTACCTGCCGACCGTCATGGCAAAAGATAGTTGCTGCTGTGATAAAGGAGTCCAGTCTGTTACAGACTGTTACAAAAAATCTTAAAACACATTCATCTGTTAGTCCAACTGGACTTTCTGGATCGCATTTCATTTTATCCCCATTACCTTAAACGACACCCTCCCACCAACACAGCGGGCTGTTTTTGGTCTGTATCCCAAAAACTATTGTCTTTCAACGTGCATTAAATATGAAGACAGTTTATTCCTTAATATGCACCGTAAATTAAATGTTGTATTATTGTTGTCATTTGTGTGCATTTTCATCATTATTCAATATTTGAAGTTTTGTCAGATGGTATTCGCCTGTATGATGTTACCGAGTTGTATTTTTCATGTAATAATCCGTCACATTCCTCTGTGACTCAATTTAGGTTCACAACCACAAGTGTTTGTTCCATAAAACAAGTTTGTATTAGGGTCTATAGCAATGTTAATAATCCAGGCATATGGGTCATGTAGTCTGCTCTAACCAGTAGCAGGTTTTTCATCACAAGTTAAATCCCTTTTTTTCTCTGGGGCTTTGTTACCATAAATGTATACTTAGCTCTTAATTATATAGTGGCTAACTACAGATTCCAAAAGTGATTGCAGTAAGGAGACTTTAATAGCTTTGTGGCTCCTCCCATAAACTCTAATTACAGCCAGTGTGAATATTGTTTTGAAAGGATTGTTTTTCATCCAGCTGTAATGAAACGTGTTGGAGGGCGAAGAGGATGGAGCAGGACAATATATCCTTCCATCTGACCCGGCTCAGGAAGAAGGCTTCCACCACAGAGGCAGTGGCTCTCTGACGGCAGGAGGCCTCTGCCGGCGTGTGGCTCGCCACCGTCCACAGGCTCAGGGGACAGCTGTGTCGCGCTGCCGTGTTTGGCCCTGTGCCCCGAGACAGCAGTTGCCATAAACAAACAGTGCTGAAAGCTACTGGCCCAGTCCCCAGCTCTTTTCAAGACGGTGCAGTGAGCCGGCTGACCTTCACCCAGCTCACTCCATTGAGTTCGAAAAGATTTTAACAGCACTTGGGAGAGTTAAGCTAGTAAAGAAATGCTGTTTGTCCCGTCCAAAACAAGTGTAATGAGGACACTTTATTTTTCCGTATTTGCTCTGTCACTGCCCACCTTCAATTCATGTGTTATTATATTGGAAAAAAAACCCATTCATACTTGGCAAGTTCATAGGAACAATGAGTTGTTTGATGAAGTGGGAAAGTTGGAGAACCTTTTGCTACACAAGCCCCCAATTACAGGATAAATGATTAGCAAGAAAACAGTTAATATGTTTTAACTCAAGGTCCAGTTACTAGCTTTTTCTGGAATCTTTAACCTCATTACATGACCTTCATCAGTAAATGGAGTTTGGTTAGTTGTCATGAAAAATGATATGTGGCTGTTAAGAGTTCCATAGACTTCTTGTCTATAGTGGAGTGAAAGCTCATACTATATAATATGGTTGAAAGATGGAGAAAAGGCAGAACTTGAGTTGAGTTTTATTCCTCAATGTAAAGATGCCTTTCATACATTGATAGTTCACTTGATGAATGTAGTTAACTATAGGTTACTTGTGTGTAGGATTTAGTGGCATCTAGCAGTGTGGTTGCTGATTACAACTCACTCGTTTTACCCCCCTTTCCAAACACAAGGAAAAAACTACGGTGGCTGCAAGGCGTGCTAAAAACGGGAACAGCCCTATCTAGAGCCAGTGTTTGGTTTGTCCGTTCTGGTCTACTGTAGAAACATGGCGGCTTCCATGGAATGCAACCTGTAGCATCTGTACATAAAAACATTCAAAGGTAATGAAACACAATAATTCTTATATTCTTATATAATATACTTATGTTTCCATTAGTGTATAATCACCTGAATAAAAGAACGGTTGTGTTTTTGTTACCTTAGAATGAGCCTCCTATCTCTACAGAGGGAGTGGGCCCAGAACGGACAAACCAAACACTGGCTCTAGACGGGGCCTTTTAGGTTTCGCAGGCACCGTAGTTTCTTACATGCTTGGAATGGGGTAGAGGTGAGGGTGTTGTAATCTGCAGCTACACTGTTAGGTGTTACGGTAATCCCTGATGTCGGACCCTTCCAGCAGCATGTTATGGCAATATAAAACAGTGCTGAGTTTACCTTCAGCCAAGTTAAGCCCAAAGGAGCTGTTGATATCGTCAGGGCTGAGTTCATCCTCTCTGTGCATTTGGAAGGCTTATACTCACATACTGTAGCTAGATTATCCTTTCTCCGACAACCCTCTCCCTCTACAAGTTAAGCTTATTGTATTCAGTTACTTTGATATTCATGAGATTTAAATTCATATTCTTAATTTTAATTTTAAATATCATATACCTATACTTACTTTATCTTTTTCAACATTCAAAACCGAAGGAATGAACACATCATACATTTTTATATAATAAATGATTGTACAAAGTAATCAGAAGAAGGGGACGGTTTTAATCCCATTTTCACATGGTATAGTTACATCAGTTCCAGTACAGCGCACTGTATTGCTGTAATTGCCAAACTGAACGAGACCCTTTCATAAAGGAGGGATATGAAGTCAATTGAAAACAGGTGGGACTCTTCATTGCATGCAAAGCTCGTGTTGCCAGTGATTCTGAAAGAGCTTTCCGTTACTTCTAACACATACACGATTGTTCCAGGCATTACTTCCAAGACAATATCCCGATCAGCCACGCCCTGCAGCTCACTGAATGTTTTTATGAAAATGGTGTTTTGTTTGGCCACCATGGTCATGTGACCCCAACTAAGCGATCTCAGAGCAGAACCTGACACAGTGTTTCCACCACCATGACCACACGATCAAATAATCAAGTTTGTTTTGAAAAAAAAAAACACTTTCATGTCCTTCCAAAGGACTTCCAGTTGCAAATAAAACACTTAAGCCGTCTGATGTGTCTGAGGGGTGTACTACAAAGCAATTT